TTACTCGCACTGTTATTGCTGTTTGAAAGTCTGTTTTTAGCCTAACAGCACTCTGGAACCTCTGTCGTTTTGCCATATTGGCCAGATAGCGGTCCTAACGAGCCGTGGTTGACCTCGGACGACCAGAACGTAGTCTTTCAGCAACGGTACCAGTATGTTGGAATCGATTCCATAATCGTAAAATGACACTTAAAGTGTGCAGCAACAGTTCTTTGAGTACTACCAGATTGAAGAATACCTACAACTCGGGCTGCCTCAAAGCTAGTTAAGTGACGCCTTTGGCTTATAATGTCACAGGGTCATCAAAAAATATACACAACTTAAAACACGTATCCAAATTAACTGAAATTAACAATTTGATTAACTTTCTGTATACCCTGAATCACTTTGTTTTTCACACTGTGTCGGCATTCAGTAAAGCATGAATTGGGCATGAATTTCACGCCCCTACAGGTAGCATTTTCGTATCGATAACTTGTTAAAAAGAATGTACGGTTGAACTATAACGTAAAAAATATATTATAATTGTTTTGAGAAAACAATTCAAAACCATGATCCTTAACTTATTTTGTCCAGTAAATATATACCCAATTGTACTAAAACAGTCAACAATATCCATTGTAAGGTGTCTGTACGTGCAGATGATTTTTATTAGAGGGCCTGCACTCTCCTTAAATGTGAATTATAAATTGTTGAACATCTTGTATCAAAGAGTGAAAAACGATATAAAAAACCCATGGGTTATTTTCATTACGAATATATATTGTGATAAATTGTGTAAAAACATACAATTCTAGTTATCTCCCTTGGAACTCTTCAGCAAAAGGAGTTAGAAAGAGTGTTTTTTTAATTCAATTTAGAAGGTGAGGATAAAGAAACATATGTGATTTCATCTTCATTTCTGAAGTTTTGTTGGTTTTTATACATCCAAGGGACATGAAATTCTACATTTTTATTAGAAAAATGTAAGCCAACGACAAAAAACTAATTGCAATTTGCTTAATCTTATCTTCTAAAACAAAATTTAATATTATTTTCTAAATGAGGACAGAGTTTGAGTATTTTGAAAAGGCTGACCTGTTTAACAATAACATCAAAAACCAATTAAATTCAGTTAATTTTGGGGAAAAACATTTGATTTTGTATTTGAATTTGAACCCTAGCTGGGGATAACAGTCATGAAGTCATCGAAAGAAGCATGAAAGCTACAGCAGAGATTGGATGGATTTTTCCATGTCTCGGCGCCTCTGTGGATGTCATATTTACATCAGGTATTTAATGCATTACCAAGATACCAACAGTGGCCAGACTAATGTCTACACAAAGGCACTATTGACTTTCTTTTGTCAAATTAAAAAAGAGGAAAGTCAAGAAAAATTGATGGCAAACATACAAGGCTGACTGCTAGTAAAAGTTATCAGTCCTGCTAAAATCTACCAGCCTGAGAAATAACTGTCTTTTGTAAAATTGAGTTTTGAAACTAAAGGTACTGTGAGCAATGAGCTCACTAAATGATACCCCTCCCCCGCGCCTCCCATGGCCATATGAATATAACAGTGTCCATATTTTGCTATGGGAACCTATTTTATTAATAATGCCACACTTTGGTACAATATACCACTGTTATTTTGCCTGTTTTTACTCTTAAATACATGAAAAACTCAGGAGCTTCCATGGGCTTTGCCTCCTGGGTCCCCATCATTCAAAGTATGATATGACAAGCATGAATAATGTCATACTTTGGTACATAACTATCAAGACCCTTTGCCTGAGCAAAGTTATCCAAGCCCATCTCCCACCCCCCTAATCACAAATTCTGTATATGCCCATGATAGCAATACCATTAGTTGATTTGGAAGCGATAAATGCAATCAATAAATCTTAATTGAGGAAAACTTAAAACACGTCCAGCTGGGCATCGATATGTGCAAATTTGTATGCCCACGGCAAAATTTGTGCGTCTCGGGCGGTCAGGTGCACTCTAATTTCAAACGCCGTTTGGGAATAGGTCCTTTTTAATATCGAGAATATTCAATTAAGTCCTGAAAAAATCACTAGATGTTTGGCAAAAACCATAATTACTATTTTCTTATTCATTTAATCAAAATGTAAAATTGTGCATTTTCCAACTTTAAATTTCCAAACTTAAATGTGTATGATACATTGTAGATTTCAAATGCATTTCCCTTTAATTGAATTATAAAAAAGGATGGAGAATCCTACAAAATTTGACAAGAAAAACAACTAATAAAAAACTGGCCAGGTAGTTATAGTTTAATCAGTTGAAATCGAGGAGGGGTGTGTTAACCTCTCCAAAAAATCTGACAAAAAAACTTGTCTTAGTAGGGGTGGTGGCTCCCCAAATATTCCTACAAGCAAAAATACACACACACACACACGAGAGAGAGAGAGAGAGAGAGAGAGAGAGAGAGAGAGAGAGAGAGAGAGAGAGAGAGAGAGAGAGAGAGAGGGAGAGAGAGAGATTTATGAAGATGAGAGCAAATACAATATGCATGGGTTTCTGCCAATGTTTTTGTCTAATTTAGGCTTAAATTTACTAAAAAATAAAATTTGATACTACAAAACTATAACTCTTTTTAAATTTATTACTAATAGTATGAGTTTATGATGATATTACAAGTGCATGTGGGAGGGGGGAGGTAAATAAATATTTAATTATCATTAATTCAAATGCTAAATTGTGATATAAATGTATGTATTATCTTGTCATATGATGGATTTTATTCTTTGTTATCATTTCAGAGGCAATCAGAGTCTTGTTCTGAATTTCAGAATTCCCTTTGACAACACCTGCACAGCTGAGGTAGTGTAAACTTTAAAATTGAGGACCATCTTCGTCAAGAAAAGATTATCAATTCAACTAACATTAGTGTTATATATACTTTATATTACATGTATTTATGTATCATTTGATAATTTGGTATTTTGTGTTGACAACTTGCAGTTTTTTCTTATTATCATTAAAACATTCCTGTTCGTTTAGCAATCAAGGAGCTTCTGACCAAGGGTTGAATTATAGCGAAAACTACCATTCAGAGACTTTGAAACAGGTATTGTTTCTGATCTCGATTCTCCGAAATTTTTAGCTCACCCGAGTCGACGGCTCAAGTGAGCTTTCTGATCAAAATTTGTCTTTTGTCTGTAATTGTCATTCTTCAAGGGGTGAGAATTACAAAATTAATGGCATTACTGATATATCTTTTCAAGAACCAATGGCCCAGAAAAGATGAAACTTATGTGGAACTATTGTCGGGTATTGTAGATTTAATTTTTTTCAAATCATGAACCCCAGGTGTAGGACAGGGCTACAACGGATAATCAAAGTTAAACATAGGAATATATAGAAAAAATATTTAAAATTCTTCCTCTCGGATACAGCAAAGCCTTGATCGATAATATTTATATGAAAGCATCTTAAGGTGATGTAGATTCAAGTTTGATCAAATCATGACCTCGAGGATAGGTTGGGAGCACAAAGGCCAATCAAAGTTTTACATAGGAATATAGAGGAAAAATCCTTTTAAAAACCTTTAAAAATATTCTTCTAAAGAACAGATAAACCAGTAAGAAGAAGAATATGGAGATAACGAACAGTATTCAATCTCAAAGACCATAAAACAATACAAAATAAGAGCAGAGCAAACACGGACCTCCAAAACATCAGAGGTGGGATCAGGTGCCATGGAGGAGTGAGCATCCCCTTCCGACCGGTCACATCCACCGTGTGCTCCTTGTCATGATCGGGAAATAACGGAAAAATCCGTTAGTATCGAGTGTTGTGGACCACGGGCTTCTTGACTTCATGATCATAGAGAAAACGAACCTTAGCCATTCCCTTCCATCAACAGCAACAAGAAAAAAATGCTTTATGGAATGCCTTATTTCATTATCAAAGTTCAAATTTTAAATTATATTTTTTTTCAGACAGATGAATCAACCACATGTATTATGTCAGAGGAATCTAGCTGGAGCATCTTTTTTAGCAGCCAGAACACATACCTGTACATCTGACGGTTGATACAGATAATCTCGACATCAATTTCTAAATGATGGCCAAAATATCTAATAAAGACACTGTCAGTTTAAAACTCCCTTGAAAGAAATCAAGACCCTAAACAAAGGATATTGACGTTTATACTCCACCAAATGTAACTTTTGGGTTTCTTTGAAACCAAGACCAGGATACACCGAAGGATATTGAAGTTTGGAATTTTAGTTTGCCTATCTACACATGTTATGATAGTCAAGATCATTTGATTTTTTGACATTATATACACTTTATTATGTGAATTTGATTTTTTTTAATTAAGTTTCTGCTGATTTTCTTTACTGTAAACCAACTTTAATTCGCGTTTTTGATACTTTAACTCGCAAAAAATAATCGCCGCGAGAGTTTTCTACACTATATTTCCGAGTTATAAAATCATTTTATCTATCCCGTGAAATAATAACACATGACATGAATATAACACTATATTAATAAAAAAAAAATTGTAAAGCATTGTAAAGAATTGGAAGACAAGGAGGAAAAATAAATTCCTCTTATAAGTTATTTAATTCCAGTTTTATCGTTATCGTATCTTTACAACATGGAAAAGAATTTGTGAAGACGAACCTAGTTTTATACATAATTTGATGAACAGTCAAGTTTTTAGTTTTTAATGTTACTTTTGTTACTATGAATGCCCAGGGAAATTCCAATAGTATGAAGTGATAGCAATTGTTTATCCTAAAGAGAAATTAAATACATCCCATGTACCTCAAACAGTGGACGTTTTAAATGTACTTGATTTTTTGAAGTCTTGTACCTTTAAATTCCAACTGACACAGGATTTAAATGTCTTCAACCAATAAATTTTTATTTAACAAAAAGGACTTGTTCAAACACCTATCATTTAAAACTGTTTATTGATTTTATATCTTGTCAGGTTAACAACAATTGCACTGAACTGACGTATAACTTACTCCTAAAAAAAAAACGAGTGTACTGAAATAAAACTATCTTCACAGAAAACGGATTGTGTGAAATGCAGGAAATGTACAAATAATTTGTAATCATATAATGAACATCGCCTAAAGTTTATATGTAGGGAGAGCTTTGATTAAAATGATCTCTTCAACGACGTATAGGATTATACAGAGACATTCGTAACCAAGTTCGGAAGTTGTAAGTAATTACCTTTATCTTTTTATTTATTTTTTTTTAAATGAAAGGGGGTGTTGTACTTTCATCCTCATTTAATTATTTAAAATCGTTTTCATTACTGTATTGATCTATTTTCAATATGGCGTAATTTACTGTTGTTAGGACCTTTAAGTTATTCTTCAGTTCAGCAAAACTGATCATTTTTCCTTATTTCACTCGTTATAATTAATTGATTATGGGTCCTTTAACAGACAAAAAAAGTAAAAGAATCCTTCAGCTGCTTCGTATCGAAAATAAGAGTAACAATATTCTCACAATCCATTAAAAAAGATGGCAACTTTCACTTTAATATTAAACATACAGCATTAATTCGTAGGTATTACAAGAATAAAAAATCATACACATAACTTGTGATAAAATACAAGACGGGAAATCTATGTAAAAACTACACGTACGGAAAAAAGATTATTAGCATTTGGCTTTTTTTTTACTAATTCAAAACTTGCAATGAACTGTTTTTTTAAGATTTAAAAACCAGCCACGTTTGCGTGATTGAAAAAATTTAAAAAGCATAAAGCATTATGTGCAGAAGAAGCATTCTTTATTAACTGTGCCTTACTGTCACCTAGAAATTAAACAAAACAATGTTTGTTTCGTTTCACTGTCTCAAGAGGAATATATTAAATTAAAATTATAATGTTCTTGAATTCCTTGTAATCATTATGTAAATACGCGAAATGTAAATAATTTCTTAAGTTTTTGTTAAATAGCGCGACTCTCGAAACTAGTCAAGGGCAAAGTTTTTTGCAGGAGGTAATTCCAGAAACTAATGTTTTCCCGTAAATTTAACGTACATATTTGAATTAAAACCAGGTCACCTAAAATTTAAAAATCTTTAAAGATCAAGCTCAATACGAATGACGTTTTATTTGAAGAATTTAAATGGAAGTAGATTTTGTGGTTCAATTTTTTTTTCGATATAATAATTATCAGGGGACGTACGTATACGTTTCTTCTTTTTAAACAGCCTTTTAACTACTGTTCCTTACCTTGAAACAACGTTAACATTGTAACTTTTCATTTACAAAGTCCTTTCATTTTCGTTTACATTTTCCAAGGTTTTTGATAATTTGTCGTATTTTTGGTTTATCTTTAAATTAAGATAAAAGATTTTAAATGAGAAGTGAACTTCTTCAATGTAAGTACATCTTTCTCTGTTGATGATTTAGTTTATCACGTGACCAGAGGTTCAAGAACAAAAATCAGCATGCATTGCCAGGGGTTCCTTGAAAGATACTAATTGATAAAAGTTTTGAAATATTCAAAGAAATATATATAAAGAATACTTAACATATATTCTAGATGTTTTTTTTTTAATCCAAAATTGTTTAAGAAGATATGTACAACAGCATATATAGAGATTAAAATATAATACACAGTTTTTTTTACAAAAGACAAAAAAAAGCTGAAATGCATATGACCTTAATAAATTAAATCATTTTTGCCCTTTTGATAATAATTAGGGATGTCAACGAGTACCCGGTTAACCGGGTACTCGATCGAACGTCCGAGTATCGAATACTAAAATTGATACTCAGTTACTCGGATGTACATTTTTTTTAATTCCAAAGTGCATAAATTTATCAAAAAATAACTTAAATGTGCATACGATAATTAGAGTGCCGTCGCCTACACCTGTAAAACATCCGTTATCGCCAGTGGCTGTATATATACAGTAATTAGTGACCAATTACCTGCTTTTCTCACCTATTGAGGTCCTTAATTTTTGGATGGCTTCAATGATTTGTTTTCATTGAGGATCGTTTAAGTACGTTCTGTTATTTTTAAATGGTGTGTTCCCGTTTTGCACACATTTGGTAATTAGTATAGAACAATAGGTGTGATGTGTGTTTTGATAGCAATTATAGTCTGATTTCTGGTTTGGATTTACCTGGATTTACCTGTGAATACCTGATTTAGCTTAATGTAATCTTAAGAGGTTTAATACAATTTTATAAGCATTTTATTCAAAAACTATATATATCTATGGGAAAATATTTGATTTTATTGAATAAATTATTAATATTTAATATTATTTATTATTAGGCCCAATTTCTTAAAGAAAGAATGCGTACTTTTCAATCTTGATAAAAATCTAAATGAATGAAAGATATAACATATAATAAGGAAAATAGTGAGTAAGAAATAATTTGAAAATAATGCCCAAGCCAAGAAGATGTTATAATAAGATCATCAGATAATCAAATACATTAACTTAGTGTTTATTCTCTTCTTTTTTTCCCTATAAGTTCACCTTTCACATACTTACTAAGCTAAGTATGGTATAAACTATAGCAATTAAGTAATTATCTCACCTGGTCAAATTCCTGTTTTTCACACATTTTTAATTACCTGTAATTCAAATGTGTGCAAAACGGGAACAAACCTTTTAAATCATTTTAAAATTATTTTGTAACGGTGCCGAAATCCGACGTGCATAGATACTAGTATGCCGCTACCGACTTAAAATGTGCAAAGAAATATATTGGTAATTAAGAATGAAAATTGAAAAAAAAATCTTTTTAAGTGAGCTATGCAGAAAAAAATTAGCATATATTCTTAGAACTTATACGGGGAATAGAATAATAATATACGACAAGCGATCATAACAACGTCCGTTACTTCGATCTCCTTTACTTGTGTGGTCATCAAAAAGGCGTAGCAGATTGATTAAAGCGTCTTTCCAAACAAAACCTGTAATTACTGGTGAATCAAATTGATGTCTTTTGAGTGTGCGTATTTTTTTAAAATAAATAAAGTACAATAAATCATTTTCGCTGGACTCGATGTTTTTAAACATGCACTAAAAACGTTATACGTAAATTCAGCATTGGAGTTTAACAGAGCTTAACTGGGTTTAGGAAAATTAACAGACTTGTACATGTATTTACAATTTTACCTGGTACTCGATCGGAAAAACGTCCAAGTAACCGATTATCAAATATCGACCGATTTGACATCCCTAATAATAATGATAACACAATTATTATTTACACTGTGTTTCAAAACACAAATGTTTTTCATAATGTTCAAAGACCGAACAGACACAACATTTTCTGTACTAAAAATCATATTTTAATAGATGGATAACGATGCACAGAAAGGAAACAGGATGGAAGACAGCACGGGAGGACCTAAAGTAAGATGTCCTTTTGATTTTTGTATCATAAATTAAAAAAGTCTTTATAATTTTGTCCTAACAGCTTAATTTTGTCGTGATCATTGGGGTCAAAGCCATTAAATATGTAAAAGGATTGTAATTATATCTAATCATGCCTATTATAGAATTTGCTTACTCGAGCCCTTAAGTGTAAGGTTTAATTTATCACCCTAATACCCTAATTGGTAAAACGTACTTTGGCTTAAAATTAGTAAAGATTGTAAAAGTATACATTACTTTGTTTGTAGCTACACATTGAACATCAAGAAGAAAACGAGGACAGCAATTCAGAGGAACCTAATGTAAGTTAATTATGTTTTCACACTTTTAATTGGTCACATGTGGTGCACAGTGGTAGAACATTTGCTTTAGAGAGGCATGGCAAAGTGTTAATTCTTACGTCGATTTTAACTAACTATGGGTCAAGGAGACCGATCCTTCGCGTGAGACTGAACAAACCTAGGCACTGTGTCGCAGTAGATTCTACTACGAAAAAGCTAAATCACTATGTAATGGCTCTGACATAGGTCAACATTTGCTGTCCACGAAGGTTATTGAAGGTGTTTCAATAAGAAAATATATGGTGGCCTCTCGATATGAGTGAAAAAAAAATTAAAGGAAAACTTTACGTTGTTTCAAATTTGGAATGTTAATTGGAATTTGAAATATAATTATGATTGATAATCACACACAGGCATATATGATAATGTCCCTTTCAAAACAAAATATAAGCATGCTAGTTTATGTAACAATGTAAAAATGTTCTTCATATCAAGCATCAAACAATCCATAGTCTTACCCGTAATTTATCCAAAATCTGACTAATTCCTTAAGTAGACACCGTCATCCTACCCCCACCCCTTAAAAAAAATGTTGAAATCGACAAAAGTAGAATTATTGCATTACCTGATTTCTTCTGATCTTGAAGTTTTCATAAAATTACAGGTTCAATAACTTTAAAAAGTCTTCATTCAGGATTCATTGATTGATCTTATGTTGTCCAATGTTACTCTTGGGAATTTTTCACACATGTGGAGTCGCCACCACTTGTCGGTGGAGAGCTGCAAATTCTTTATTCTCGGGACTCAAGGTCATTGAGCAGTGAGGGATCTTTTTGTGTTAGTGCCTTCTTTGACACTGAACCTCGGTTTATGCTGTCTATTTCAAAGGACCGGTCTCCACGTCCAATTGTGAGATTCAAAAAAGAAGAAAAGAAGGTCAAGTTTTACGCTAAATATAAAGGACAGCTTAACTTAACATTGTAAAAATTGAAGTTCAATTTTTTTATTCTAGGGAAGGTATTTTCTTCTAAAAGAAGACAAAGAGAGTAGTACAGAACAGTATGAGGTAAGACAATTTTTTTCGGGGGTTGAGGGGTTGGGGTTGGGGGGTTGGAGGGGTTGGAGTGGTGTAGGTGGGTTAAAATTTGTATAGTCAAAATTTGTATCTTAAACTTATAAACAGCGAAAGTTGACTAATTTTAGTGTTCGTGAATCTGTTCGTGAATCTGTACGTGAATACAAGAAAGTTATTATCTTTATTTCTAAAACGCTTGTTTATCTAATAAAAAAAATGAATATTGGACGTAATAATATTGCCACTGTATGAGAATAACATTAAAACACAAAATCATTCAGAAGATAAAATGGAGAAATTAGAAGTGAAGTCATCTTTCAGAAAAAGGTCTTTAAAGATAAAGATTATTCAAAAAAGAGCGGCAGCGAAGAAGATTCTTCTGGGTTATATGACGAGGTCAGACAAATTAATATGTTCCTTTAAGGAATGAAGCTTATCTTAACCTTTGTTAGGTTATATAAAAGAAGCGGTTTATAAAAAAACTGTCCCAAGTTATGGCATTTCGTATGACATAGGCTAATATAAGCTTCATTTCTTACAATCCTATTTCAGTCTATACAATAAATATTCGGAAAATTGCTTCAAATGAGGCACATAATTAAAAGAACTGTCAAATGGAGTGATATGTTTTTGATGTACCTTATTGTGACGTACTCGGGCAACATATGTAATACGATATACATCAAATCTTTTATCTAATCAAATGACTAGATCTAAATATTTCTTAATATCAACAATGTCCAAGGTACTGCTTGTAACATTTTTAATATTTTTTTTTTATTTAACACAAATGATGAAAGGGATGGACCAGTTCTGATGACAATATAGATAGACAGAGGAAAGGGGTGAGCAGTCATAAGCTTTATACATTACTAGTATACGATTATCGTCAAAGAATATTGATTTGACATTGACCGTAGCATTTACGATAAATGTTTCGAGAAAATTCTTAATAGATTAATGATGAAGCTTGAAATCTTGTGTAAGAAAATTTTCAAAAAAGTTCTATCGAATTAAAATAAAAATGTTATACTTTGAAAATAAAATTATGCATGTATATTTAATAATTATGTTTTATCCAGGATATCCAAGACCACCCTACGATTAAAGATAAGATCTATGATTGTGAAACATTTGCAGGATTTAAAATATCCGAGGCATACGAGGGAGGTGAGTTTTCTTAATTATTAAATTAATGAATTACATTGAATAACCTATAAGCAATTTGCTTATAGCATGGAATTCACATGCACCGTATACTTTTTTCTTAATTTAGAGAAATAAATTTCCTAATGAAGAGGATAACTTTTTTTGAAAAAAAGAACGTTCTTTACTTTCATTTGAATTAGATAAAATCAAACAAGGACAAAGAGTTGTGCAGAATCCAGAGGCCCTTACAAATAACAGCAGCACTAAAAGAAGAAACTGCATTGGAACCGTGGTCCACGCTGGAGATAACAAAGTTCGCGTGCTGTGGGACTCAGAAGATAACCCAGAGGAATATAACGTACAGGATAAGTCGGGCGAAAATGTCCAGTACACCTTACTGCTCCTGGACAATGCTCAGACCGGTAATTCTATAGCATATCCTACTAATAAAAACCTAATAATACTGGAACTTAAATTACTACTGTGGTTTCATCAATATTCGCTAAGCACATATTTTCATGGATTTCATTGTTGAGCAAATCCACGAATTCATTTGTATAGGTTATGTCTTCGTCCACGAAAATACTTATCCTGGAAAATGTCTGTTTTACAAAATTCACGAAAATTGATGAATCTATTTACTGAATTCATCAATGTGTTCTGAATTTAAAGGAGCTAAGCATGAAGCCCACGAATGTGACAACTGCAGAGAATACCCAATACGTGGTATCAAATGGAGATGTCTCTATTGTAAAGACTTTGATTTATGTACACGCTGCTACATGCAGGATAAGCATAATATCAACCATCCATTCCACAGAAAACTAGACAATAATTCTAGGACGTAAGTAATGTACATGCATTTTCAATATTAATGACAGTTTGTAATCTTACTCTTAAGAAATGTTTTTATGAGAGAGAGAGAGAGAGAGAGAGAGAGAGAGAGAGAGAGAGAGAGAGAAATTTAAATCACTTTTATATCATTTAGTATTGAAGTGGGTGTTCGTGGATTGGATTCCAAAGATAACAGCCATAGAACCGTGTGTGGGATATTTCCCGGTGCAAAGGTCTTTTTAAGAAGAGACAATAACATAAAAGGTAACTAAAGAAAATAGTTTGATTTTAATTCCGGATTCATTTTTTTTCCATTTCTATACAACAGAAATAAATTCATTTTCTGATTAATTCTAACGCTGGTTATTTTTTTTATACGTACACAGGTAGGTTAAGGTTACAACCAAATATTCTACATGCCTATATGCTTTGACGTCATAATACGCTATATGACGTGAAATTTAGAGACAACAATTTCTTAAAATCGATATCTAAGATTGATTTGAGGTCGTAAAATTGAACCAAAATATGCAGAGGAATAATATCATTGGAATTTTGTCGTTCCTGGGCCTCTGTAGTTATCACAGGGGTTACATACCAAACCCGTGACGTCATAACTGTTGATCATGCAATGGCAGAGTGAAAGTGAAAAGTAACGAAAATTGATGTAAACAAACACAAGAAATCGGAGTTTAAAAGCATTTAGAATGAATATCATGTGTGATTCTTGTGGGAATAAAACGTATGAATAAGGTATGGTAATATACTTCTGCAATTTCTTCGTAAAATTAAAGTAGAGAGGGTGTTAACTTGCCGATCAGCCTTTCCTCTGTCGTTCGTAACAAAAAAGAAGCAAAAGTTCAACACTACGCCGCATACCTTGAAACTTAATTTTTGTTTCTATCTAAAGTTCTTATTCTTTTGTTTTTGGAAAGTGCTGCTAGAATCGTATGGTTTACGGGAATTGATGCATTTTTTTCGATGTTATGAACAAAATGTAAAAACTTTGGGAAGGTTTCGTCCGAAATTGTTGAATAATTATTTCTAAAAGAGGACAGTAGGATTCTAGCAGCACTTTTCATGGTACAGAGATGTTTTAACATAACTATTAATAAAAAATTGGAACTAATTATCCCCGGGGTAGTGTTAAACTTTTCACTTTTTCATTAAGGCATATTTTCTAATTATAGACGTCACGTGGTGACGTCGTGGTGAGGTGCATCATGTAGTATAAGTTCCATTGAAGTCTATAGAATACATAATGATAGTAAAAGTTTCATCCTTGACTTTTCCGATTTATTATTGTTGCATAATTATAAAAAAGTGTTAATTCGCCGAATTATGATCCATGTGCTGCTTTAACAAACCGGCGTAATGTTATGGTCAGTATGTACACACTGAATTGTCGACAAAGAAGAAGGTATGGTTTCGATACAAATTTTGCCCGGTGATTTTCTTAAAAATGAAACTGGAGTAAAAGTTGAAACCTCTTGCTTTTTAAATAATTGAAATTCAATGCAGAAAAATCACACATGTCATTTTTCTCACATGTGCTTTTAAATGCTTATTATGACGTCATAAACATGTGCATTTTCCCGTATTTTCTTCAAAAGTTGCAGAAGACACCAATTTTCAATGGAATTTTCTTTCAGATAACATTTTCCACAGGCATCGCCCACAAAGATCTTGAGATATATGATTTATTATTGAATTTTGCACAAAATATCAAAAAATTAACGTGGGCGACGGCTGTGGACACTGTGTTCTGAAGGAAAATAACCCTTGAAATGTGCCATTTTGAGGCTTTTTCTGTTGAAAATAGAGAAATGCTTCACATTTATGACGTCATATTTGCAGAATGGTAAACCTTCATGCCATATTCTTTCCTGATTTATCAGAGTCATTTATTTATCTAATATTTAAGCCAGTTTCAACACTTTTTCATGTCATTACATTTTTAGGGCGCAATAAAGCTAAAACCATACCTTCTTCTTTTCCCGTCATTTTCCGATCATGACAAGGAGCACAAGGCGGGTGTGCTCGAGGAATGCTCAGTACTCCACTACTCCTGATCCCAGCTGTGGTATTTTCGACGTCTGTGTTTGCTCTGTTCCGATTTGTATCGTTTCATAGACTCTAGAGCTTGAATACCGCTCTTACCTCCATTTTATTTAATAAGATATCAAGATAAGGACTGGTGTGACCGGTCGGCAGGGTATGCTCACTCCCCCATGGCACCTGATCCCTCCTCTGATGTTTCCGGGGTCCGTGTTTGCTCTGCTCTTATTTTGTTTTATTTGATGGACTTTGAGTTTGAATACTGTTCGTTATCTCCATATCATTCATTCAAGGTCAAAGTCCATTAAAGCAATACCAACCAAGAAATGAGCAAACACTTACCTTAAAATCATCAGAGGTGTGAGTAAGTATCGTGGAACAGTGAGCATACCTTGTCTACCGCCCCACCTCGTAATCATGATCATGAAAAGCAGATAATCCGTAGACAATTTAGTATTAAACTAATGACCTACGATAAGTATGGAAGACGTCAGTCAGCATTTGATTGAATGCTTAAAAGAGATAATGATGGTTTTTGGCATTATTTGAATGATGAAGACAACGAACAACCCAAATTAATGACGAACCTGAAAAAAGTATCAGTTAAACTATTTATGATATATTTCTTCTTTTAAATCATGTACACGCACAAGAAGACTAATAGAAAAATATAGCAATGTCAACTTGTGCATTTTAAGAACCTTCATTGCATATTTTAAAAATAAAGGCAAACAATCTAATTTATTTGGATGTTTATTAAATGTACACACACAGATCAAAAAAATTAGGTTGTGGAATATATTCATGTATTTTCAAAGACTCTTCATGATTGATTTTGACACCAGTTTGTTATTGCTAAGAATGATTATTTTTAGGAACAGTGGAGGAAAGTCTCTCCATGATTGATTTTGACACCAAAGTTTGTTACTGTAAAGAATGATTATTTTCAGGAACAGTGGAGGAACTAAAAAATGAAGAATCCAGTCTATTTAACTGCGATGCGTTCGTGAATTGGGATGACACAAAGAGCGAGGAACGTTACAAAGTTGGAAGGAAGGGGAAAGTAGATTTGAAGTGCGTGACTCCAGGAAAAGGACTGAAATATTATGAAGATCATTTGGAGATTATAACAAATGGTTTGTAAAACAAATTAAGATTCAAAATCACGAAACGCAGTTTAAATAAACGAAGAGTTTAGTACATGTATACCTCTATTTAGGAATATCAAATACAGTGACTGTCAGCCGATTTTATTTACAAAGACTTTATTTTGCGATTTATTTGGTATACACGACGATTTATTTTCGCGATCAAGCATTTTAATTTGTTAGATCTGTAATTAATAGACACAGAGACTATAGGCACTAGTTCTGGAGGACAAATATTCCCAATGACAAGGCTCACGGGAACCTCGCAATGATTTGGAGGTCCGTGTTTGCTCTGCTCCTAGTTTTTTTGTATCGTTTTATGGACTTTGATGTTGAATGCTTTCCGTTATCTCCACGTCCTTGACACACAAAAAAGAGTAAGCTTAAAGTGTATATTGTATTTCAAGAATGTTCAAGAAGAATTTCAAGAATATCTCTACCTTATTACAGGTACACCTGTAAACCAAAGCTTCCAATTATAAAAGCAAAATAAATATTTCTAAAAAACTTATTTGATAGATGAAAATACAAAAAATAATAGTAAAACATAAAATACTAATGTTATTTTTGACTAGGTTAATTTTTTAATCGTCTCTCAGATTTACAGTCATTTTCATAATTTTCAGTTTTACAAATGTATATTTTTTTTTCCTCCACAGAAAATGCAAAACCTGGGATGCGAGTTGTTGCAAAATACAGAAAAGGGAAGAAGGAACAGTATGTCGGAACAGTCATCTCAAATGAAGTACGATTTTTTAAAATAAATATATTCTTCAATGATATCGTTTATTGGTATTCCTGTTACATATTAACCAAACATACTCATCGGTTGATAAAAATCAACAAAACAAACCAGAAATAAATATTATTTACATTTATAGAGAATAATATTTTACAACATAGCTTGTCATATTCAACAGCTAATTATCATTAATAATTTTGAAATGCAACAAATAAACAAACTCACAATAATACTTTCTTTTTGTTATAGTCTTATCATAAAAAACGTATTTTAAATCTCACCTTTAGAGCATTCTCGTACAATTTTAAGGGTTGATTTAAATTTCTTTTTTTTTTGTAATATCGAGGTATTTTTTTTATCCAGACAGGAAAAGATTCAAAATTCTTAGTACAGTGGGATGGTGACGGAAAAATAAAAGAAATTGGGAAGAAGAAAACAATATTTCTTTATGATAACAGTCAAACAGGTAAACTATTATCTGTTATACATCTCTCTAGATTAATATTCTGCTTTTTCTACATTACAAAAGGAGTTCTGCTTAATGAATAAAGTATATATGGCATATATCGTGGTTAGAATTTTTATTCTGGTGTAAGGTGTTGATCCTTACTTCGCGGGTTCGAATCGCATTGTGAGACGTGGAGACCGGTCCTTCGGAAATGAATGGATAATCGGAGCTGCAGAGTTGGTGTCATGTAGGAGTGGGCATACCCTCGCCATCGGTCACACGCAACGTGTACTCCCTGAATATAGTTCATCATTTGCAGTCCCACTACCGACAAGAGATTGAATCTAGATATGAGTGATATGAGTGAATAAATCTCGAGAGTGTTCACTTTATAAACGAGAATTTTTCCAATATTTAGATTGATTTTACAGGTATTGAACATAGTAACATTCGATGTGATGAATGTGCAAGGAGAATGAAAGGCGTGCGATGGAAGTGTGAAAACAAAGACTATGACCTGTGTACAAGATGTTATATGTCTGGTAGAGGAGAGATGAAATTAAAATTCTGCCGAATGATAGATCCTTCTAAAAGGTAAGAGAACCCACTGGAAAGATCTTTGCAAAAAGAAAATCAAGACTTTTCCTGTTTTTTTTATCTTTTGGGTTTCGGAGAGCAATAACTTCTACTATTTAAGGGTATTTCTTTTTAACAACCCCTTGTTTATTAATAATCTCACTTTCAGGGAAATTTGTATGAACTGTGATTTAGCCATTATTGATGATTATTTACAAAAGGAATAAATTCATACATAATGCTAGAGTTCTTTAATTCACTGAGACATGTATTTAATTACTGTCTATTTGTTCAATCTATTTGTAGAGAAAAATTAAATCAATCTCGATCGGCTCTTTCATCAGAAAATAAGATTCAAGCACTTGGACTATTTGAAGGTGCAATTGTATGCGAAATCGAAAGTTCAAATGGTAAGCTCCTCGGACTTAGCAGGGGGGGGGGGGATAAAAGTTTGTTTTCTTTTTACTTGATGTTATTTTTTCTTAATAGAAACAAGACAAGGAACAATATCAAGGATCACTGATTACAAAGTTAACACGGGGAGGAGTGTAGTTTCTGTGAAATGGGACAGCAATGATTTTCCCAAGAGCGGATGGAAATTCACAGATCTTAAACTGTGTGAATCATTTCCAACTTTAAACTATTACCCTGCTCATCTGCCAAAACTTCAAAACGGTAATAAATTCAGATTTTCCTTATCATTTTTTATCCGTCTGATTTTTTAAAAAGTAGAATATATATTTCTGAAAATTTCAAAGGACCTTGAATCACATTTAGAGGTATAAAATGAAAATAGCTGCATGGAAAAAAAATCAAGCTTCATTTTGAAACTTTTTGAATTAAATTATAAACTGAAGAGTTATTCTTATTGGCTGAGGATCGGAACAACCTTAAAATGGAGATAATATTTTGTAAAACAAAAAATGTATTTCACACTTATACCCAATTCAGTGTATGACCTGATGTTTCTGAGTTAAAATATATACTCCAACTTGTATTTATATTTGTGTCGTCTTGTAATTGATAAGATGTAACAATACCTTGAATGAGGATCTTCTTCATATCAAAATATTGAATATATTTGCAAAAATTGACACAAAACATAATTGAAGAATTGTAGTGTTTTAAATTAGTAATTCCTCTTATTTACTCTATCAATATAAAGGAAACGCAATTATCGTAAACAGCGTAGTTTATTTTAATCTCTAGTCTCAATATGTTTCACCAAAACATAATATTATTATGTTATTAAAAATACAAAATGATTTTTCAAAAATTGAAAAAAACCTTAAGAGACAACATAAATTTGAACATTTAACATCGCATATAAATTTTATGTGATCCTTGGTTTCAGATATGCATGGATATATCAAAGCTGGGGATGATAAAACAAAGGTATGCAAACATTCAAAAGGAAACTCTTTCATCTTTGTTTTAACCATATCAACTTTAGATAGTACTGCTGCCATCTGCAAAAAGAAGTTGTTATATTTAAAAAAGGAATGTTATTTTTATTCGTCATGGAAACAAACTCAATGTATTACAATAAAAAAGTGTTATGTCATGGGGAAAGAAACACGTGTATTTCAGATTAAATATCACATTTCCAGTATTGCATATATTTAACTGAAATTACCTATAAATGCATGACAAGTAAATTTCAGCAATATGAATACATTTATATTGGACAGAATTGGTAAGGATAATATTTTTGCACAAGAAAAATATTACCACACCTTTGAATTTATGCGACAATAAAACGTATCCTTGAAAAAAATCTTATTAATAAGATTCTATGCTTCAGTTACACGTGATTGATAACTTTTGTGGCAAACTTTTCTTTGCGCTAAATAAGTTAGTGGAACAATGAGAGCATAGAGATACCAAAAAGTTATTTCTCAAATCGCCATGAGAAATGATCATTATTGCTATTCATACCTTATAATAAAACGCTTTGATGAGGCATGTGAACTGACCAAGTTTTTCTCCCGACTGAAACCTAATAACAATGACTGAAACGTTCTTTAGGAACGCATTTTAATTTGTTCAACAATTCTCCTAATTTGGTAGAAGTGTCAGCCAATCTTGGAAAGGGAACGGCAAAAGATCCTACAAGCTAGCTTTGCATGGTTAATGGACAGCATGGGTCGGCGAAGTAAGGCCTTCATTGCCTAGCAGGGAGGTCCCACAAAATAGTGACTCACCTGAAAATGAAATTATTTTACTTTTTAATGAAAATTTCTTATTACATGTCAATGCCTAACGTTACGAATTTAAGAGTGGACGAATGGAACAATTTGTTGCGCATTTTCGAACAAAGTAATAAAGTTCTGTGTTCATTTTGTTAGAACTCTATTTTATTTTTATGGTCAATTACATATTTTGACAGATATTTACCTAGAAAATTCTTAACTTTTTTGTCCAATATATATGCAAAGAAATCATAATTAATAGTTTTTAAAAGTAAACCTTGTGCTGCTTTAAAATTATTCAGAATTAAAAGTGATTTCTTTATAATTATTATCTTACTCCTTTTTGAATTGAATTTTTCGTGTTTCCCTTTTCAAACCTTCCCTTCTTTTTTTCTGTCTCTCCCCCTCTGGTGTCTTTCTGGGTTGAATGGGTGTACTAGACAGTTTAAACAAATTTTCTTATGTTGTTATTCTGTTTAGTAAAATTGTTCCTCAGTTAGAATCTGCAGCTGCAATATCTCACATTAACAAAGTTGAGTAAATACACATACAATTAGTTTCTGTCATTTCACCGATAATCTGTTTCATTTTAACAGATTTAGAAATCTTAATTTCACATTACAAAACATCTTTGCCCCGGTATTAAAATATGCAATAGGAATTCTGTTTCAGAAGTTATACTCGGTTCTATGAATTGTCCATTTTCAAATTACCCTCGCTTGAGAAGGGCAAAACGAAGAAATAGCAAAAAAGAACGAACATTTTCCTGCGTAGCGTATAAATGTCCCAACAGGTATACAAAGTATCTTTTTTGAGATTTTTTTTTCGGTGAATTTAACAGAACAAGTTAAAGTAGCTTATTAGATAATAAGAAAGACAATTTAATGAATGTCACCAATAAGATATTGTTGTATATTGTCGTATATTGTTATTATAGTAGCATTTTGTTCTTATTACAAAATTTCAGAAAAACCAACAGGAATTATTTTTAATTAACATATGCAAATCTTGTAATGTGATTTAACATATGTTTTAAGCAATTACATGTATATCATAAAATCATGTTTTTTCCCTAATATACATTCTTCAATTACACTAATTAAAACATAATGAAAGATAGTTTGAGTTCTTTCTTCGTCGATTTTTTTTTTTCAATTATGTGTTTATTCTCTTAACAGATACCCATTCCCTATGACACTTACATTTAGAGTTTTATTTCACACAATGTTTCAGATTTCCGTCGACTTCTGGTTAGACGAGAACGAGACCCATATAAAACAGGAGAAAGCTCTACCGTATCTACTGTTTGCGAGTAATCCTGACAAAGATATAGAGAGCGAACAAGAAGATAATAAAGAAAAGATCAAACATGACAGAGGCAAACTACTACGTATCATTAGAAGTGTCTCTGGTATGTAAAATAATCAGAAAAAAATGTTTTAAAAAATTTCGTTCATTAGATTGATTTAAGTGATAATGTTTTAATGCTTTTTTTTTTTTTAGAAAAATCTGGGTTGCCATGCTTGGACATCGTGGAGAAGACGATGTTCTTTCAGGATAAAGTTATCATTCACCAGAAAACAACTAAAGAAACGATACAAGTAATATTCTTTTAAGTCATAGATTTAATTATCGTTGAAATGTACTTATTCATTGGCTGAAAATAATGTATAATGTAAAATCCGTGTGGCTTAGGTCACATTGGCTCACGTACGTAGAAACATCCATTTGCTTGACGATTTCAAATTGATGTAATTCATTAAAATAATCAGGCGAAATTGTGTAATTTGTCATACGCTAATTGCTATAAAATTAGATAAAGCGCTAAGTGTAATATTGATAGCTTTATTAAATTAATTTCTTAATCATGGTACTTTGAAATGTATCTCTGTATGTTAAAGCATATTCATAGAACGTGTAACGTTGAATGTATTTATCTTGAAATGTTTTAGCCCTATACAAGCACTGTATATTTTTAATTGTTCTTTCTCCGTGTAGATGTTAATAAAAATGGGAGAATATGCGTTCGAAAGAGGCGATTCAAAATACAAAGAGAATGAAATTAAATATTTCCAACGCATGACTGAAGGTACTGTATAAGATAGAATGGTCGATATAAAAATTACCGTGAAATCACAATTTTTTTGGGTGAGGGTTGTTTAATTTCTATGAATCTTTCTTCAAAACTGTTTTTACATTCATCAGTGTCAATTTAAGTAGATTGCTTTATTACCAGATTTAATCTAGTTTGAAATATAATCTTGATAACTAGGTTCAGTGTCAAGTTTACAAAATTAGAAGATTTAATTACCCTTTTTATTAGACTTCGAAGGCATTCAATTGATAAGATTGACCAAAAAGTAGAATCATTCCAATTCATTACTAATACAAGTGATAATAATTAGATAATTATTTTTCTGTTAATATATGAGTATTTTTACAGCTTACTCTGGTCACGTGGTACTGCCTGTTGCCTTATCCCTTGATAACGGCGGATTTCAACATGAAATCGTTGCTTATGCTGTTAACATGAAATTTCCTATATTATCTTCCAGGGTAGGTTTTACATAAATTATGTTTAATTAAGTGACTAGTTTTACTTTTTAGGATTACAAACATTTTTTTTTTGGAGGGGGGGGGGGGTGCAGAAGTTGGCAATATTTCTCTCATAAATTAATATTCAAATAGGCTGCATGCATATGATTCTACCTCTGATGTTTTGAAGGTTCGTGTTTAGTTTAATGGACTTTTGATCTTGAATACTGTTCATCAATATCATAATCATAATATCATATCATCATAATCTCAATATATCCCATTTTCAGGTTAGTGTGACAATTTTGTAAATGCTGTCACAGTGTTAAAAATGTGTGCCAAATTTTGAAAAGAATGACTTGGAAAGCGATACAAGGTGGCTTTCGTAAGGAACCAGAGAATATTGTTATATAACTTAGGGATTGATAATTCAAATCATTTTCATTCATAATCAGCCAAAAAATAATGTATGTCCATGCGTTGGTTTTTTTTAGTATGTACCCTCAAACCTGGTATTTTGAACTTTATATCGGGCTTACCATACATATATGAGGTAAAAAATATATATTATTTTTATTTTTGTTTTCTTTTAAAGAAATCTACAAAAGATGCAACTGTGACGTTAATTGACCATTATGGGGACCATCACAACAAAGAGGAATATAGCCGTGTTCTATTAGCAACGAAATATTTATTTAATGTTGATATTCCCTGGAAAGTAAAAATGGAATACGACGCTCAAGTGTTTCGTTATGATGTGTCCACACTCAAAGACGCAAATGAAATATCGTATACTGATGAAATGCCACATGATCTTTACGAATTAGATACAATAGTTTGTTGTACGGTTATTGCCGGTACGTATTTATAAAATTGAATCACGAACTACCATTCTCACACATTTGGGGTGGGGGATACGTACAATATATATAAGATTTAGCGCATTAAAGTATAATGAAAATAAAACTGATTAATGTATATCATGGAAAGGATCCTTAGAGTTTTTTTATCTAAATATCTTGAAGAGAAGTAGTCCGTATCGCAGAAATGACATTATGCACAATTACAGTAGCCGGTTGTTAAGAGGAAATATATACAAATACTGTTCTTTTTTTGTTCTTTTCGATGATTCAGGATTTTTATGAATTAAGGTCCTTAGTAAAAATATGATGAATATGATAAAATTATCAAATATAACTATAATATACATCAGCATGTCTTGGGGTGTCTTATTGTTAAACTAACAAAATGTGTTTCTTTCAGTGTTGTAATAATATAATAAATTATCAAGTAAATCAAATATTACTTTGATATTGAGCTGTTTTATCGAATGTGCTTTTTACAGTTTGCATGACAGAAAGAGCACCAAAGGGGTTCAAGGTAGGCTCATTAATTTTAATAATAATAAAAAATCTCTTATATCAAAACTTTATTGTTCGATCGGAATACAGCAAAAAGAACCACATGTATATAAAAGAAAAAATATATCAACATTTCAGGAAAAATATGCCAATCCTTTGTGCATGTATCTTCTAAAAAGTGGGAAATGGAAAATTCCGAAGGACTGCATCAAAAACTTTTTTAGTCATCGTTCCATTGAATATATTTTTGAAAAGGTATGTAATGATTCATAAAAGTGCATATATTTTTCTTTCTTAAACAATTTCATTGTATTTGCTACTCTACTTACCTAACGAAAATAATGCTGTATACATTTATCTTGAGAGAAACGTTTGCCAATTTTTTTTTAACATTCTTTTTACATTTATACATTTCTTTAAAAGAGCATGACAGAGGAGTTCAAAAATGGTCTTTGGAAGGATTTAAAAGAAACAACTAACGATGTATATGAGCCACCTGTTTGGAACGGTAGTTTTTTTATTCCGTTATTTAATTCCCTTTCGAACATCTTTAAAGTAATGTTAAACTCTCTCTTCCGACTTTTGGTAAACTTATTGGGTAGATCGGTCAGTGGTTAATTTTTTCTCCTGAAATGTTAAAAATATTTATAGATGGAATATTTATAAACATATTCACAGATGGAATAAGAAAAAAAATAAGATATATATATCATGGCCTGGAATGTAAAAAAAAATTGGGTGGAGTAATTTTTATTTAAATAGCCGGAGAAAACAGCTAAACTTTTTTTTTTAAAAAATTGCCTTGTTACAAATATTCTTAAATGGTAAACATAGAAGTACAGAGCTGTATTTTGATATTTCGCGATATTAACTATCGATTCATAGAATTTAAGTACAATTATAATTTCGAATCGAGTCTTGGAAGTAAAAAATAATGCAAATCATATAGTTTACAATTCTGAATTCTAAGTTGTAAAGTAGAACTTGGTTTGCCTTTTTAATAATTTTCTAAAATTGATATCAAATTTTCTTTGTGATTTGTGTATATAGGTCCCCTGCCATTGGTTTATAATAAAAGATTACCTGTTTTGATCACTTATTATCTCTCTGGTGTTTTAGAGACAAGTATTTACTCTGCTTCAAAATTGTAGTGTTTAATAAACTTTTGATTGTGAATTCTGTTTGTTATCTCCATATATCTGACTGTCCTAGGTAAAGAGCTTGAAACCTCAATTTCTGGGCTGTTTGGACTCATCTTTCTAGCTTTGTTAAAAGAAAAATTTTACGCCGGCGCAAAGCAATTCATTGAAACAGGATGTGTGAGTTCTTATATATATATATATATATATAATCATTTCTTTTCTAAAATTTATTGATTTATATATCTTTATTATTAATTATCAATAATTTGCAATACCCCTTGTCATACTAAACTAATTGTCATTACTAAACGATTATTACCGTATTCTAAATAGGATTTTACATTGGCTCTGTTTTGCCTTGTTAAATTATGAAATTCCAAACTTTTAAGTTTAGGGTGACATATAATAAGGACGGGACCATTTCCTGCATAAATTATTCTTTGCTCTTTAATGATAAATGTAATATGTCAATGTAAAAGTATAACTTTTGATTAACATGTTCACAACTAAATGATGACTAAGATGCAAGACGTATGACACAATGTTAACCTATGACTTTCGTTGGAGCAGAAATAATCCCAAATGTTTACTTATCGGATTTGCCAAGTAATCTATATACATATATACATATGATAACAATAAAACAGAGCAATTTGATCGTTTTTAAAAGTTGTCTGCTCATTTCATTTATGTTAGTTTTGTAGTTATATGTAACCAAATAAATGTATTTTTAATTCTTTATGTTGCTACTGTCATCAACAGGTGCGTATTCACTTTATCCTGGTTGGCTGTGTCATTCTACAAGAGGCCGTGGACGACTGGAGAACAAGTGAAGAAGATAAAGAAAAATTCGAACTGATGATAAAGTAGGTGAAGAAAATATGAGATGAAATAAAACAAATGAAGAAAACAACAGTATTCAAGATCAAAGTCCATAAAACAATGCAAATCAGGATCAACGTAAACGCGAGCATCTAAAACTTTCATAGCAAATTATATAACCAATAAAACTTAGAAAATAAACAAGTATATACTGTATATCAATAAATTTTCGAAACACCTTATTTTCGCGGATTGTCATTAACTCTTTATTAGCGAGATATAATTTTCACGAATTGTTCTTATTCCTTTATAAAATTGCAAGAAATACTTTCATAGGCGAGAAAAAAAATTGCGAGCTCTTTGTCTCGCTTTACTTTGTGAAAATAAAGTGGATTAAAAGTTATTTACAGCTTTAAAAATTTTACACTCGCTACGGCAGTTTCTTGTAAATAAGACTTGTTCGTATTATTTTTAAATTTTTGCAATGTTTATCATTCAACAAATCAATGTCTTGTTTTAGAAATATACGTATCTAAGATGACTTCTTGTTAAAATATTGTATTTATCGAACTGTCTTAATTTTGTATATATCTTTCTATGAGTATCAATAGGAAATTTACACATCAATCTATTCGTATCTTCAGATCATATGCTTTATGTTTTAAACTATTGTACTATGTCAAATGCGGTCTGACGATGTTCATACTTGTTGTTAAAATTTAAATTTTCCACGTTTTCCCCCGTATTTCCTGATTACGATATGAAGTACACGGCGGATGTGATCGGTCGTTAGGGGATGCTCACTCCTCCATGACACCTGATCCCACTTCTGATATTTTATGACCGTGATTGCTCTGCTCCAACTTTGTATTATTAAGAGGACTTTTGAGCTTTTATACTGTAAATAATGTCAACTTATTTCATGCTTGCATTAGATGGATTTCACTATCGTCAGGCTTATAATTATTAAACTATCTTAATTATATTTTCAAAATTATCCATCGGATAATATACAAAGAATTTTTCTAACTAAATTATGATTGCCTCAGAAGGTTTCTTGTGAAATACTCGTGTTTACTGCACAGCCTTTTTTTATTCATTTAAAAAAAAAGTATTATTTTCTCAAAAGGTTTATTTTTACTATAGAATTATACATTCACTAAACATATAATATGAAATAGACACATCTATAACAATGACCTTATTTCTATTCACGCTTTAAATCTTTATCGATAGAAAGTTTACACATCAAGCTCTGCGTATTCTCAGCTGTGTACATGAAGAAGACAAACAAAGGAATGCAAAATCACAAAAACAGGAAAATAAATCGAATGAAATCACTGAAGAGCAGCAAATAAAAGTAGGAGAAAACATTCAACATTCTGGGAGACTTCTCCTTAACCATGGTTATCTTACTGGTGGTATTCAAACAGAGAACAGAATTTTTCTTGACAATGAAGTTGTGAAAAACATTCTTAACCAAATGTGGTACGGTGTTGAAAAGGTTACCAAGTGTAAAGTAAGTAAAAATACTTATTATTTTTGTCATTAGACATCACATTTAATTTGAAGAAAAGGAAATAGGAAATTTGATTGCGTGAATTATTCACTGTTTAGTTGAAGCATCTAATCAAAATTCCAGTTTAGACAAAGTATTGGCATGATTTTAAAAGTTGACTTTGTCCTATATGCCTTTCAATTTTCAGGTACTGGGTTTTGTGCTACTGGCAATTCTTCATGTCATTCTACTACCATTGCTGATGATAACATTAGAAAACAAGCCTCTTAAATGGTAAGAGTGTAAAGTTGGAAAACAAGCCTTTTAAATGGTAGGAATGTGTCATTATCATTTAAATTAGGTTTTCTAAAATGAATGAGATGTGTATATATGCATGTTCTGTTTTTTAGTCTTTCTTTTATTATTTAGATTGTTATATCGATGTATAGCGCTTTAGAGTTCTCATAAGATAAGGTGCTATATAAATTTTTATTATTTTATTATATAAAACTGAACTTGCATGATAAAGTGGTCTCACATTTTATTTTCAGGTTGTACAGACAATATAAAATTCCATTCATGAAGGTTTTCCTGAACATGGTGAGTATATTTTAAGAGCATGTCTACGAGAAAACCATGCAAGAGGTTATGGGAGCAAGGTTCTCAGATCAACTTCATGTTTTGTGTGTAAATTTCTTCTATAATATGAAATATTTTGCCACAAATTTTTTTTTCAGTGTGGTCTCACTTAAGGGGTTAAATGGACACTGTTACTAAAAATAGAATTCTTGGTCCTTACACAGGGTGAAAACAGGAATTTTATAGGATTTTATATTTAAAAATTCAGCATTTTACTTGATAATGATATTAAATATCCATATATGGTTGAAAGTAACAAGATACACTTGTTTCGGAAAATTTTTCATAATCACAAACTGTGCCCTCGTTTAAGTGCAAAAAGGTCACAAATCTGGCATATTTCCAGATTTTTGAAAACTGGTGAAAATATTCACTTTTCAAAAACCTATAACTCAGAAAGTGACGCCTAGAATCAACTCAATCTCATACCAATTATTAGACAACATGTCTGTCTACATTATATAAAAAATCTGTCTTTGGACTCTCAAATATTTTGCTGTACTTTTTACTTAAAGTTGGACATTTTTTTTGTGAATTTTCAAATTTTCTCATCCCTGAACTTCAGCAAGGAGTTATTTTGCTGATTTAAATATTTTCAAAAATTTAAATTTTGCTGTTGAAAAATAACAGTATATTGTACATTTTTGTTTTCAATCAATAATTATTTCTTAGGGGGTTAAATGGGGTTAATTTGGGGGGGGGGGGGGGTACCAGAATTGTATTATTTTACATTTTCTTTGAAAAGGGTGATATTCACATACTGCTTAGTACCTGTTTGTCAATCAGTAGACCAAGTGTGTTCTCTCTTATCTTAAAAAAAAAAACATTTGCTTGAAAGATAATAGACATAGTACACTGGTACCTACTTATAAGTAGATGTCCCCTTTTAATTTGGAGTCCACAAGGTCAAAGGTCAAGGGTTATAATTCTCGATATACCAGTATGTAGATTTTAATCATTCAAAATCTTGAGGACCCATTGCTTGACAGACATCAAATTTAGTACACTGGTTTCTTGAAAAGTAGAGGACCCCTTTAGATTTTGAGGTCACGATGTCAAAGGTCAAGGGTCAAACTAAACAAAAAGGAATATCAGAGCCATTTTCTTGACAGACATATTGTCATGGCAACAAACTCAAAATGAATGAACACGAAGTTTTAAAAATCAACAAATTAAAACATTTATAATTTTTAATTTCATTGCAGATCAAAATTTGAATATTACTCAATAACTAAATACATTCAACAACAAAAAATTACAGTGCTTGACTGCTTCCTGATATTTTGTATTCACTTCCAAAATTAAATGACCTTGAAATTTTGTATGCTTGAAAAACATCTACTTGCTTAAGTATACATCATGGTTCTAAATTAAGGTAAGATTTAAAAGAAAAAATCACAGTTTCCCCAAATCATATTCTGAATTTTTGGCTATACCTGTATACAGGAAATTAGTCTTTATAATAGTGATATATATTTGGTAAAACTAAAGCACTGTTGACCTTGAACTTTGATCTTTTCTAACATAAACACTTACTTTACTCTGAATTTTGTGTATTCCTGCTTGTGAAACCTGATACATATTAAATATCAAGATATTAACAATGTTTAAGTACATGTACCAATAATATCGTATAAGTTAACATATAAGAAATACCCTTCAATTTTGGCTACTACACAAGCTTCTTCAATCATAAACTGTATTTTTTTCTTGATGTTTGGTACACCATTTGGGTTGATCTTGAGGTCTCAAGCTTTCAAAATCTATTAAGGTGTATCCAAACTATTCTGTTCAGTATGACCCCATTTTCTTCCTATGTAGCATCCAATAACTTCTGGAGAAAATTTAACAAGCACTGAAATTTCCAATTCTGGTTTAAAGAACGACTGGATTATCTCCAAATACACAAAAGTAGTACTCAAAGCATGTACCTGTGAAAAAGGACAGTTTTCAAATTAAATTGAAATAGATCATACTAGACATATTCTAAGATTTTTAAAATACATGTCATGTTTATGACAATGCTACATTTAAATTTATCAATTGAAGAAAATGTCATCAAATGACTTGGGTAAGATTCTTCACAAATTCTTCTGGCTATCTTTGAAGAAAACAAGAGCTTCATATATCCTTGAAGTAAAGTAACAGAGTAGGGAAAAATGCATGTGGCAAATCGACAGACAGACAAGGCAATTCCTATCCATGTACCATAGTATACAGTTATAAAATGGGTATGAGGAAAATAGCAAATTTATGATTCCCCGAAGGAGAAAACTATTTCCCTGAGGAAATAGTTCTCTGCCGAGGGGAACTTTAAATTTGCTATTTCCCGAGTTCCAATTCCATAACTTTTTTATTATACCGAAACAATGATAGGCGATTTAATTTTTTTTAACCAGATATTCCGACATTTAAAAAAAAAACTGTAGAGGCATAATTACAAACGCATGCGGTTTAACACATTGTATGATAAGTGAAGCATCGTGTCCTTAAACAATTAAATTATTTTTAAAAAGTATTTTCACTGACATTTTGAAAAATTATCGTTGTCTTCATTTTGGTAGAATTCTAGTATGATTTTGACGTCGCACGTCAAAATGTTTTGACGTCATAGCTACATTGCTAATAACATGACATCACAGACTCGAGATTCCTTGAACACTCCACCCACTGAACACTTTGATTGGTTAAAATTACTAATAAATATTCGTGAGGGAGTAGCTCTGATTTTCCAGGGAGTAGTCTTCAGATGAGGGCAATAGTCACTTCTCGGGGAAATAGAGATTCTTTTTATGGTATTAATTTATACAGAGTAATTACAGTAGAGGTTTAATAATATAACATATCTTTACCATTTTCTCAGCAGTGGTAAGTAATTGGTAATGCTAATGCTGCATCTCCATTGTCTCTCCTCTTCTTATTTCTGGATTCTGTTCACAAAGCTACATTGGAAACCCTATGTAGTAATTCTTTATAGCTCCACAGCTGAAAATCCCATTGTAAAGCCCAGCCCTAACCAGGGAAATGAATTTGAATAATCTGAAATTGCACAAGAAATATAAAAATGAAAGGAAATATTCTTTACAAAGTATAATTTCCCAGACTTATATTTATAATATTAGTTATGTTTTAAACACAAACCTGTCAAGGAACACATGGTGACCTTGAATTTGAAAAGTCTGCACAAGTATTTGACAACTCTTTTTCCTTTAATCATATATGAAAAGCCGAAAATCATAACTGTAGCCATCTTCAAAACATTTCATAAATATCTGAAAAAAAATATTTTGTTTAATGAGATTCTTTATAATCATGCAGCCCACATATGAGGCAATAATGGTGATTTAATTGACAGTGAAGACCCACCTATCCAATTCTTAATGTACCCAATTAGTAAACAGTCTTTGAAAACCCTGGACCTATTCAACTTTTCATTCCCTCTTCATCACCCAACAAAGGCTACTTATGCTATTTATAATTCTGCAGATGTGAATATTTTGTAATATTGTTAAATTTATACAGATATTTTTATTGCTACATGTACAAGTACCAACCTTGAAATTTCTCTTGACAGGTTTGCTAGGTATATATTCAGGTCCAGTACAATCACTAGATTTAGCCACGTAGGTATTTTTTATAGAAATAAATTACTTTGGTAGCTAAATAAAGCTACTTCAGGTAGGTGAATTAAGCTAACTAAGTAGGTAAATCAAGCTACGTATATAGCTAAATCCAGTGATTGTACCAGACCTGATAGTGTTTTGTAAAAAATCTTCTCTTGTCCATAATCAAGTCCCCATCAAAATTGTTTATTTATTTATTTTTTACATATCAATAAGCCTTTTTATAAGGTACATAGTATTATAAACCATGATCCACCTACCTGTTTCTTTTTCAAATTCAAACATTGTTGATTCGGTATCATCATCACTACATCCGTCTCGCTACCAAATGAATGTTCGCTGTCAGAATCATATTCATGAAAATCAGAGCCAGAATCTTGCCAGAATTCACGCACCTGAATCTTTTTCTGAGGACGTACAAAACGGTAACAAAACGTCTCAGGATGCCATAATGTTTACACGTGGTTACGGAACCGTACATCGATCCCGATGGTTTTCATAATTTTTTATGCATTTTATACATAGGCCACTAGTATATATGTAACAAATTACATTCAAAGGAGGGACAATTTTCTTCAAATCACACATAATTTATGCCTAAAACGATTAGATGACAGACATCTGTTTATAAACTTCGTAAACATAATCATTATCTACCTTCTCTACAGAAGAGCGCAACAGGGGAGACAATTCTAACAAAATCTAAATAAATAGTAAAATACGTTTTTTTTTCACAGGAAAAGCAGGAAAAAAAAATATTTATAGCTTTTAAATAATTAAAAATAATTTTTCATTGTTTATATTTGTAAATATTTGACACAAAATTCATTAAAATTACTGTTAAAAGTAAAACTTATAAAATCATTAATTTTTCCATCATTTGAATTTGAGGTAATTTCATTACGATATAACTTTTCTGTCCTTGAGAGTCCAAAGGTGGATTTTACATATTGTTGGGATAATATCCTAGAGATTCTTAAATGCACAAAATTCTGAAAAAAGAAGCGTCACTTTCTAAGAAATGTATCCCTGAATATTAACAAAAAATGAACCATTATCATTTCTTGGCACAATGCCAATATTTGTGCCCTCGGGGCAGCCTTCTATATAGGGGTTTTACAAAAAAATTGATTCCAACTTAATTTTACGACTTATTTCTATGAGAACACATTGCCCTTTTATTCATATATAGTTTTTTTCTTTTTTACTTTTAAATATTGAAATTGTCATTTTTACACCAACTTTTTTGCATTTTCCCTTGAATATAGACCAAAATGAATTATTGGCTGTTACTAAAAATAGAAACAACCGATGCAAAAATAAACAACGTATTTCTGACTCTCAATGGGTGTCCTTTAAGTTAATAATAAAAATTAGTTCGTTCTTGAGAGTGCCTACCAGAGCATTTTTCTATATATCTGCTTGGTTTTCTCGTAGACAGGCTCTTAAAAGAACTGCGAACGATATTATTGTTCTCCCACCTACGACCAAGTCATTTTAACGAGTAATATTCATAATATTTTTTATAGATTATTATAAGGATTTTCAAAAAAACATACTTATTTGGGAAAATAAAGACAGATAACTCTAAAATTTTGGTAAAACTTGTGTTTTTCACTATAAAAATCAACGGAAAACGGTAAATATTTTTATAACATCTCACCCCCCCCCCCCGTGTAACAAAAAATCCTTTTTACGGGTAGTATGGACTGTTACTTTGCAAATTCAAACCAAAGCCCTTTCGTGACAATGGGGGAGGATATGTTTATTGACAAAAAACGATAAAAATGCTTTTTTCCACCAATTTCAAAGGAATTTACAACTGAAACATAATATGTAATTGATATATTTATGTTTTATTTATTTGCTTAAAACATAAGGCATGCTATAAGGAACATTTACTGTATACAGGGAATTTTTCGCCCCAGTTTAATTTTCGCCCCTTTCGCCCTCGTCGGAAGTGGGCGAATTTAAAACGGTGCGAATTCAAAGTAAACAGTAAAATATCTTAAACAAAAATCTTTCTGGGCGAATTTAAAACGGGACAAACTTGTTTCCGAATATAACACGGGACGAAAATAACCCTGTATACAGTAATCATATCCAAGACTATTTCAAGATATGGTGTTGCTTGAAACTCTGGTTTCAATGGAAAATATTGTCTACCCCCTTTTTTTCAAAAGCTGGAATTATGGATAATTTAATGTTTAACGCTGGTATTAAATCAATTCATCAATTACCATTGAAATGTTCTTTGTATTAAACAAACCTTTTATGGCCAAATTGCTATTTATATTGAATTAAATTGTTCCAAAATGTATGCGGGAATCGAGTTTGCTTGCCTATTTCTTTTAACTTGATGCCTTATCTTAATTGCTACTTGATCCCTCATATAGAATTCCCAAGGTCCATGTTCATGCCTTATCTAATGATGGTATTGTTTTTACTGTTTTTTATCTTCAAATATATTTATTTTACTTCCAGATGAGTCTTTTTGCGCTCCTAACAGGATATGCTTATATGCTTCTGTTTGACTTTGACAAAGGGATATCCAAGACAGATATCTTTGTTATTGCCTGGATGACTAGCTTTTTCATTGAAGAAACAAAACAGGTAATTTTTTTCTAGTCCCTTTATATATATATCAATACGAACAGTTACTTTTACATACAATACATAATTATTTAAAGACATAAAATTAATACACCAAAACTGAATATGGCAGTTTAAAATGACTCAACGTGTTTTTCTGCAAATTCTACCAACCTTAATTTGATTCGCTAAATATTTGTTGAAAATCACAAATATTACTCATTTTATTATTCTTTTGTATTACATTTGGTAAGTATTTACATAAGTGTTGTATATCTTTTGCTGTAACTTATTTTTTTTTTGGTTTTGATACGTAGATGATATCTTTTAAGGTGTTCTTTGTACATGTATAAAGGTGAATTTAAATAACACGTATTGATTTTGAAATATCATTAATGTTCTCGATGTACCGTTTTGTTATAAGGCAAAAGATTAAACGAATAGTCTAAACCACATTTCATAAACGGGAACTTTGTTTTCGAGTACGTTAATACGCAAGACATTTTACTGGCGATAATTTCATTCTCATGTATGTTACTTTTCTTTATATTAAGATGATACATTGCAAAAAGACAATATGTGAGAATTTCTCTCGCATATAAAGATTTACGACTATTATGCAGAAATTAGGTGTCACAAAAATATAGTGATCTAGACAAATGTTCAAAGCTCTGTAACTTGAGTGAATTCTATTTATTTTAAAATACAGTGAAAACTGTCTAATCTGACATTTGTGAAAATCCGTCAAACTTTGATTTTCGATGTTTAATTTCTCTCCGATTTTACCTTTTTTCCATTATTTTAACACTGTGCAATTCAACATCCTGTCTATTTTGACACAAACTTTGCCTCCAAGAGCATTGCAGTTTAGACAGGTTTCGTTGTATACCGCTGTACATAATGACTTTTCAGGTGATCGTGGCAGCTATAAGAAAAAAGAAGAAGCAGTATATTACGGACCCCTGGAACATTCTTGACTGGGTGTCCTTGATTACGTATACATGTGGCATGCTTATGAAACTTAACGATATGTATGACTACTTTACTGCATCCAAAGTTCTGCTAGTTGCGGCTTTCATCATGTTGAGTATACGGATCCTTCATATGTTTTCCATGTCCGAGTTGTTGGGTCCAACATTGGTCATCATACAGAAAATGGTAAAGGAATTATAAGAACGCTCTTAACTGTTGCTGATTTTCAATTAAAAAAAAGTACTTCGCGTTAGCTAACCAAATAAAGCTAAAAAATTAATGATTTTTATAAATCATGTTTTAATAAGTTAGGAAAAAGAAAAATGTTCTATATATACATAATTTAATTTTAGGTGTAACACGAAATTTGATGGGATAAATAATTTAATTCATTTTGTATTACATAACTTGCCTACTTGATTAATGGGATACATCAAAAACGTGTATTTAAGCCTTTTCCGGAGGAAAAATTGTCTCATTGCTTCGTACATGAGTCATCACACCATACGTTTTAGGTTCCCTCACTTGCTTTTGCTGTGTACAAAACTTGGCTAAGATAACACTGACCTTCTAAAAATTCTTGCGCAAATGAACTTTTTTGTTTAAGAATTAAGAAATTCTGAAATGTTTTTTGACTTAGGACTGAAGTTTCAAAGTCATTACTACTGATGTTTATTTATAAAGTTAAAGATTTGTTTTATTTTTGGTTGTTTTATTAAGCGTTTGCATTCTCTAAAAAGCGGTTAAAAATAAGTGCTATATTTTTAACACGTAACTATAATATGTCGACTATGGGGTAGACTTCCTGCTTTGAACACGCTGACATAAGCCAACAATTGCTCTTTAATTGCTCTTTGAGCAAATAAGCCCGACTAAAAATCTGATTGAACAAATATAATAATTAATTCGAATTCATTACTTTTTTAGTTTAAATATATTTTCAAATATTTTACAGATACTTTGCTATTCAAAAGAAAAATAAAATAATATGAACAACATTTTTATATATGTTTTCAGCAATCGTATAATCACGATTTAAATAGTAAATAAAACATTTCATTTGACTTCTTTTCATGTTTAGGAAAAACTATAATATATATTTTTTTTATCTGACAAGATACGCCTTTTTAAATGTACTTTATTACCGATAAGCACTTAGCTATGGAGATAATGAAGTGTCAGGTTTTGTTTTTTGTTTTCAGTTTAGGGACACAGTTGCTTTTATGGCAATCATGTTTATAATCTCCATGTGCTATAACATCTCTTACTACGCCATACTATATTCTGAAAACTCAGAATTTTCTTTTGACCAACTGGAGAAAATAACAAGAAACGGATACTGGATGTTATTCGGAGAGCTGAATTTGGAAGGAGATAGATGTAAGAAGAATAGATTACAATAAGCATTTTCAATCGATTTCATGATATTTTCAATAATAAAAATCAATGAAATGATTTGATATACCTTGACTTTTTCCCGTACTCTGGATATAGTTATGTTTTATAATATTTGTCCCTTTGCAAAGTTTGTTTTATATGTGTTTAAAGCATATTATTACGTATTTCATACATATAACTCATAATTGTTGCAGGTATGCCTGACATCACATAGGTATACCAATCCTAAGAACTCACATGGATTTTTTGGCTGATACACATATGTAGCAAATCCTTCGCAGCTAGGATAAGGCTGCCCGTAAAATATCAAACTGTTCAAACTCTACTTACTTCTCTGAACTACCTAGATATGACGTCATAATAGAATATGACGTCAAAACACTGCATACTTGAGCTGACATGACGGGAAAAGTGTCATAATTATTACACGGCATGTAGATTTACTATGGGGATATGTGTTTAATTTAAGAGTAAGGGTTGTTTTTTTAAGTTTGTGTGTGCTGTTATAATGTTTAACATTTGATATTTAAATGTCTCTATTCCTTTTGCTTGTCCGATTAGCATATATTCAAGCAATAGCAAAAGATTATGTTTGAAACGCTCCCCTTACCCTTCCGTAGACAGAGTTAGAATTTATGAATCGTGTTTAAATTAGACTGGCACAAGTGAAAGACAAGGATAAATTGAAGATATTCGGCGTGAATCTAGAAGAAAAATATGTTTTCTAACTGAATTATGTAGTTTATCCTTTTTTGTATAAATCGCGATAAAGTGTGGAAAATATCACTCTTTACGTTGGTAATTTTAATTAATCGTAAAATATTTTCTTAAGAAGTAAAAATTAAACCTGCCCCCAGCACTTTTTTTGTACCAGGGATAACGATTAATTGATCTATGTAACAAACTTTGCACAAATATTTCTTTTTGCACTTGTGCCGAGGTGATTTTTGTGCAACATTTAAGAATATCAAAAATGTCCGTCACGTGATCAACACAGTCATCTGACATCACAGAAATGCTTTATTATAATACCTGATTAAACTGTTATCTCAAGTTGACTGCAATTTCAAACAAGGATCACATATTGACATTATAATCAAGCTCAAAATAAAATATATATTTTTAAGACATTTTAAGCCTTCGGACAGCCTTTTCATAACTGCGTTATAGATTATAATAGTTTCTGTTATATCCCGATCATGACAATGGGTACACCGTGGGTGTGAACGGTCGGCAGGGGAAGCTCACTCCTCCATGGCACCTGATCTTTCTGATGTTTCAAAGGTCCCTGTTTGCTCTGCTCCTATTTTGTATTGTTTTATGGACTTTGATCTTGAATAGTATTTGTTTTCCCCATATGTTTCATATGGATATAGCAAACAGTATTCAAGATTAAATTTCCATTAAACAATACAAAAAAGCAAACACAAACCTCAAAAACATCATAGTCGGGATCATGTGCTATTGGAAAATAAGCATTCCTTGCCAACCAGTCTTTCAAAGACCAACACTTCCTGTTTTTCTATTTTTCTAGTGACGGAACCTGATTGTACATTTAACGAAACTGAATATAGGGATGGGTCACAAGAACGATGTCCTTCAGCACTAGGGAGGTTTCTGGCCCCCTATCTAAAAGCTGTTTACGTTCTCACGGCAGTCATATTGCTTTTAAATTTGCTGATCGCCATGTACAGGTATGCCATATATATTTAGTGAAAGGTTTAAGTTTACTTTTAAAAAATCTTTCTTTTAGAATGGATCCTTGTCAAAATCTTATCACTTTTTGTGTTTGAATTTTTTTGGTAAAATTATTGAATTAATTTGGTTTATTCTACCGTGCAATTTTTAAAGTAAAAATATTACTCAAAATAATTATCATCTTAAGGGCAGATGATACAAACAATTTTCTCCTTTGGAAGATGCTTAATATCATGTCACAAGTTCAGAAAATTGGATAATTCTTAGATTTTTTTTCCCAAAGACTTGAAAAATGTTAACTTAGTAATATTTTAATAAAAAAAAAAACAAATATAGACAAATCACACTCAGTAAAGGTTAACAGATGAAAACAAATTCTAGAATATGTTATATTGGCGCTAAAAGTACATAAACATTAGAAAAATGATACCAAGCCTGGTGAATTTTATGAGGACAGAGAAAATGACAGGAATTCAGCAATATCATATAGGTGAATTTTTACCATTTTTCTTTTCCTGATAAAAAACACCTGGCTTGGTATACTTTTCTAAAGTTTGTGTTACACTTTTAGCACTAATTTAACATATTCTAAAATTTCTTTTCATATGTAAACCTTTACTTAGTGTGTTTTGTCAATATTTGTAATTTTATTGAAATATTACTAATATTTTTAAAGTGTATTTCATTTTCCAGTTCTTTGAAGAAAAAAAAAACTAAGTAATAATATTTTTTCTGAACTTGTGGCATACCATTGAAGGTTTGCGTTAAGGTTGTGAAAGCAAAACCGAAAAAAGTCCCTCCAACTCATATTTTTTTTAATATGCATACATGCTATATATCAATTTTTTCAGGGAGATTAGCTTCATCATTCAATATGATTTTCAAAGATATTGCCCGTCTCATTTTTTGAGTAAAAGACGCCAAATTTAACGTATTTCACATTTCACCTCGAATATTATTTTCATTGAAAAAATTGATTTTTTTTATAAATTTTCAAACTTTTATAATCAAAATGACCGGAATTAGTATAAGTCATGCTTCTATTATTTAAACTTTTAATTTTCCTTTATCAAAAATGTGAAAATTTGGGTAAAAAAGAAGATTTTTCAATTTTCCTTGATAAAGTGAAACCGTTGCCATGGCAACAAAAATATAAAAACCAACGTTTTACATATCTACCAATTCCATCAAAATCCATGAAGTTATTAATTTGATCATTTTCATTAATTTGAACTAAAAAAATATGTATGTCCCCAATATTATTACCATGGAAACAGGGGCTATATTATGGGTTCGGAACATAAAAATCAGGCTTTTTCTACACTTTTAAAGACAACATTGATATCACCTTGTCATGGTGAATGTTAAAAACTAAATGTTATTTTTGATATTGTTTTTAGGCATAAATTGGCCAAAAATATTCAAAATAAAACGCCTCCTGTGCTACATGATGGCCTAAAAAATTATTCCATGGAAGAACTCTAGTATTTATGGCAATCTTTACATCTGAATATTTTGATGAAATTGTCCATGAATTATATTGCAACACCTTTAGAAGTACATGTATATGTATATAAACATACTTCAGAACATGTTGCAACTAAACCAATTAAAAGCCTATGAATTTGACCTCATGCTGATTAGTTATTCCAACATGTAGTAACTTCTAGACATCTTTGTAGCAAAATATTTTTATTCAGTTATGGTTGGTGACTGTCATTATACATGTATGCCATTTTTTGAGTGAAATTTTGTAAGCATTGCATCCACGAAGCTGCTGTTTTTATAATTAAATTATTTCTTTACTTCGAAGAGTAGAAATGCTATCTTTAAAGTAATGTTTGTTTGCCCTCTCTTGACTCAGGGTAAAATTATTGGGTCAGTAGGTGAGAAAATCTTCAACAACATTTTTTAAAGGGGATAAGAGGAATAAAAAGAAAAAAATACTGCCCTGCATTGAAAAAAAAATTTTCAGTCTGATCATTTTAGTCAGTCGGTCTGGAGAGGCCGACAACCAAACATTTTTTAAAGATGGCCTATTTCTACACTTCATGGACATTAGCTCAATCATTGGATTAGATAGTCTTAGAATCTAAATTGAAATATCAGACAGAACAAAATAAAGATGAATTCTAAGTGACATCAATTCATACTTTAATGAGTTTACAGAGTACTTCTGATTTCAGAGAAAAGGCAAATTCTGCAAAATGACATGAACACTGTCATTATGATAAATATTTGTCAAGAACAGGGAAAAAGAAACAATGCTACAGTGATAGATATATTTCCTTGATATCCATGAAATAATAATTTAAATATAACAAAATTTTCTGCTTTTTAAAATCAAAATACAGAAAAAAAATTAAAAGATTATAGATGTAAACAACTTTAAAATAAACTACATGTATTTGTGAAAATTTTTTAATTTTATTAGATTACTAAATTGGTCTTATCATTCCTACTAAATTAACAACCTTACAATTGCCAAGTGTCATGTTTTAAACTGTTACAGTAGATATATAATTATACATGTTCACTGCAGCTTTATATACAAAACTCGTCAGTTTTCAGAAATACTTATCTGAGCATATTACATGTACATGTATTAGGTCCTGGTAAGAACAAAATTTAATGAATAAAAATATTAATCTTAATTGTTCATGTATTAATTTCCTTGCAATTTTACAAACCCTTTTAAGAAACTTACATGTAAGTATAGACAAACATGACAAAAGCAACCTTCAATTAATACCTATGATGTATACATTTATTTTACTGAAAACAAATTCAAAGATGGACAAGCAGAGCATGAACTGCAATCATCGCATACACATCTTTTCTAAATATATGGAAAACAGCATGTTATGTATATACTAGATAGGATGTTGTTGAACATTAAATTTTGTTCTATAATCTATATACATATAAAAATATGCATTGGGTATAACAAGTCAGAAGTTCTTCTCCAAATCTCCATTGATTTTGCCATGTCTGGTTCAACATCTTAGCTTGATCCATCCAACTTTCTTTAATATTCTTGAGCTGATATGGGATGACCTCTACTTTGATTGATGGCACAAATCTTTTAAGGAAAAACTGAAGTACTTTTTTTGGTTCTTATCTATTCCAATTAATGACCCATGATCTGAAATCACATGTGTTCATTTTTACAATAACATTTAAGGAATTGCATTTTTTGAATAGCATAAGGAATTGCACTGAGTTTCATTCACTCAATGAAATGAATAAATTTCCAATATAATGAATGAAGAATCAATATGAAATTATTGTAAAATTTACAGATTGAATTAGTGAAATGCAAATGCTTGATCAAGAAAATTAATGTTCTTGTCATGCACAATCTGTATCTCTTTTTTATTAATTAGAAAAGGAGATATTAATTAAAATCAAACCTCATTTAAAAAGGTAACTTGAACAATTGAATACCTGTTCTGAGGCCTAAAAAGCAAGGATTTTATTTTTCATAATTTCTTGAATGAATGCATTTTTTTTATTTTTTGGCAATGTTGGGATATTAGTCACATCCTGACATCCTTGTACCGTTTATTCATCGTTTTTAAATCCGTAGTCAGTAGATCATTCATAACTTTCAGTAAAATGAATAGTTAAATAATTACCTGATGAAAATACTATCAACAATCAAACTGTCAACATCATCATTGGACATGGTCAATGCACCGTGACTTTTCTTCCCTGTTCGGACTGCATATAGCATAATACTTTACAGGATACTCTCAGGTCTTTTCTTTTTTCTTTCCCATTCTCACTTAAAATTTTAGTGTAGTGGTGAAGCGAGAAACACACATCAGCACAATGCGTCAATGACTTTCTTCTGATCGGAATTGCCGTGCAACTTGCCACGTTTCGTATCGAAAATAAACAAGTCCTCCTTTATTGGTTCATCCACATGCATCACGCTAATCTCAAAGGCTTCTAAGATTCCTATGTTTTGATTTGTTATGACTTTCTCATGAAAACGTCCTTCGTTTTTAGCCCTAACATTAAGTGACAACAAACATCAAGTATGACAGAGGAAATTCGTTACCGAGATGCTTAGCATCGCTGGTCTAAATTCGCCTGTTTCAAACGCTTTGGTGATTCGCAAGAGTTATCTCCCTGTAAACGCAAACCTTACCTTAATATCTTTTTGCAAAATTATATTAAAAAAAAACATTCTGTTTGTACACACAAGTATTCTGAAGTTGACATCTGTCAATAATAGAAAGCCTTGACTTTAATTTATCGTGGGGAATATTTGTATATGAAGTTTAAAAGTCGTAAAATTTTATGTTATTATGTTCCCCAAACGAAGTTGGGGAACATATTGTTTTTACTCTGTTTCTTATTAAGGTCTTCCGTTTCAGACGGAAGACCTTATAGTGATTCTACTGTTTCTTTTTAAGGTCTTCCGTTTCAGACGGAAGACCTTATAGTGATTCTACTGTTTTTTCTTTTTATTATTATTATTATTTTTTTCCCTTTTTGTTTTGACGATTTCTCAGAGATGACTGGACGGATTCTCATGAAATTTTCAGAGATGATAGAGAGTCAAAATATCTTTCAAATGCAGTTTTCAGTTTTTCAAAATTCACTTCCGGTCGTCAGATATGTCCGATTTCCGCTTTTTTCAAAAAATTTTTGTCCCAGTCATATCTCAGAAACGGTAAGAGATGAAGACACCAAACTTATATGAGTTATAGATCTTGATAAGTAGGCAAAACCATTTGGGTTAACACAGTTCGCCGTCACTTCCGGTCGTCACAGGAAGTGATCAAAGAAATCGAAAATTTTAACTTTTCTTTTTTGAAACTTTTTTTGCAGCACAAAATAGTATGTCATTTGTAGTTTCGAAATATGTCAGTCCCACCGGAAACAAAAACGACGACTTCCGGTTTTAAGAGAAAAACTACAAAATTTGAGTATTTTTCTTTCCCATAAATATTTTTTATAGATAAAGTATTTTTAATGATTTTTGGATATGTTATTCAGACTGC